TATTTTCAGTGCGTCTAAAGAAAATGAGCTTATATCTCAACATTCTTATTCAAGGATATTTGGGGATTTGTAATTTAGAGTGTGGGGATTTGTCTGTTAGTTTATTAAAAGAGATTGAGCTTGTGGTGCATAATTGTGCTGTTGTTCAGTTGTTTCAGTCATGTCAGACTCTTTGTGATCCCATTTGGGGTTTTCTTGGCAAAGATGCTGGAGTGGTTTACCATTTCCCACAATATCTTTCTAGATGCATTATTATTATCATCATGATTATATTATTATAATCACCATCACTATTATTATAACTAGCTCAATCTAGGCATCCAGTGAGAATGCTTAAGGACCAAAACAGAAATTCTGCTTTCTTCTATAAGTTTTCATGTTCTAATTGTTCAGATACTTTAAATTCTTATTTTTACTTGGAAGCAAGCTCCAGTATATTTCAATCTTAAGTTCTTTTACATCTCCAATTTTTATGATATAGAATTCTTGGAAAATTTGGCACAAATCCAGAAGGGCAAATCAGCCCAACAAATAGTTATTAATTGTCTATTATTTCAATCAAGCAGGAACATATTTTAAGGATCTATTAACTGGATTTTACTGAGCCAGTCTTTAATCTGAGAATGAAAAAACAGAGGACCAGAGACAAAGTGCCAGTAATTAGGTAGCCATTTAATTAATTAGTTTCATTATGAGGAACAGATTTGCAAATTGGGAATTCTCCCAATCAGAATTCCACCTAGCTAAAGTGCAGATAGATATTATATACATAAATCACAATGTAGGGGGCGGGGAAAAGATGGATTACATACAATTGTTTCCCAGGTCTTGAGTGCTGTCCCAGAACAAGCTCATAAATTCACAATACAACAATTCTGGAGTCAAGTCTTTGGGGATTATGATCATCCCCACCCCCCAAGGCACAGAACCAGAGTTCTGTGACAGGAACAGGTTCTACAATCTTTGATCCCCTTCACTTAAGGTACACAGGCATAAAAATGCTAGTAATTGTGAGTGTTGTCAGGGGTTTAACTGATCATTTCAAGCTGCATTGTTAATTCTGACTCCCAGAGCCAGAGAGGCAGCTCTAGAGAAATCTAAATTATTAGCATATTCATTTTATAAAATATGTAAATCACTAGGCACTGTGCAAGGTGCTGGGGTATGAAAACAAAATTGAAATAGATTCTGACCTCAAGGAACTTTCATTCTTAGAGGGAAGACAACATGTTCATATATTTGTAAGGCACTCACTTGGTCTTTGGAATAAAAAGGCAGATATGATATTTATCCTTCCCTAGGGGTAAGGAGTAGATAGTGCCTACACATGGACAAAAAACTATAATATGAGAGAGAGTGTGTCTAATGTAAAATCAAAGTCTAAGCGAAGTGCTCTGAGAAAATTGAGGAAGGGATCCTTGTTAGCTACATGTTAGGGACAGGGTTAGAGAAGGTTCATAGAGGATATGACATATCATTTGTGTCTTGAAGGAAGAACAGGATGTCATTGAGGAGTGAGTAAATCAATGTGTGTGCACGTGTGTTAATCAATTTCACTTGTTGGGGTCAGTAGGATCAAAGACACCAAAGAAGAAAAGAAAGAAAGACACCAAGAAAGAACAGAAAGTAGTCCAGTTTGTCTGGAATAGGGGTTTCCTGAAAAAGTCATGGATGAATTAAGGCAGGAAAAGTAAAGGGCCTTGAATAGCAGCAGGTAGGTTGTAGTTACTGATACCACATCTGCAAAGACAATTTGTTTACATATTTTAGATTTAAATATTAACTGCATTATGGATTATTTGTCAGAAATCTATTTTGTAATTGAGTTAGGACGTGAATAATTATCTTGCCTAGCACAAGCTTTATGTTAAACAACTTATTTTTGCAGGTGATGTTCTATCAATTCTATGCTGTTTTTGGTCCTGCCTATTTTAGGCATAACCTAGGAAGTAAGGACAGTAGAGATAAATGCCTCCTGATTTCAGAGAATTCTCCCATACTGTACTCTTTTATTTACTGGGGAGTTTTGACCTGACCTTGGAACTGGCATAGGAGACTGATATTAAGTCATGAGCTGGTTCCTTCCATCCCTTGTACTTGTGGGGAGAGAGAAGGTGCAGGAGGATGTGAGAGCCTGGTAGAAGACACTGAAGGAAAGGTGCAGGAGGATGCTGTCTGTCATCAATGACCTGGGGACATTAGCAGTAGTAAAGAGGCATGCCTCTAACAAGATCAGATACTTCTGAAATTCATTGCTGAAATCCACCTGTGAGTTTTCATTTCTTCCCCTTCCCTCCTTCCCTCCTTATTTCTCAAGATTATCTGTTTCTCAGTTTGTTGTCTCTTTGTGATATAGCTGTCAACCATCTTCCTTGCTAAACTATTTGTTAGAATATAGTTGGAGGGATAACTGGATCTCCTGAGAGAGAAAAGAGACAGATTTAAAACTGATATTTTGCTAGAGTAGGCTCTCTGGCCTACTCCTTGAGTTTTTGTTGTTGTCATTTAGTCACATCTGACTCTTCAAAACCGGCCCTTCTATCCTCCGCTATCTCTCAAAGTCTGTCCAAATTCATGTTCATAACTTCCATGATACCATCTATACATCTCATCCTCTGCCATCCCCTTTTGCTTTAGCCTTCAGTCTTTCCCAAAATCAAGGCCTTGAGCTAGATAAGACAATTATCATATATATATATATATATATATATATATATATATATATATATATTTTTTTTTTTTAAACAATTTCCCAAGTCAGAGAGAATACTTTGGCTGCTATTTTTTGGGGGAGGATTGGAAGAAGCAGGAATGCAAATGAGTCAGAAGCAACGGCTGTGGCTAGCTCACCACTCAGACTGGTATTGAGGTGGTTATAAACCTTCTTTCCTAGGTCTGATTTGAAAGAAAAGCCACTACCCAGAGGAGTAGATCAGAGAGACTAGAGAAAAATTCACATCAAAAGAGTAGGGAAGAATAGCTTGACAGTGGGTGAATAGTGAAATAACATCTGTTTCCCACCAGCATAGTTCAAGACACCACTACAAATTAGACCTAGAAGGTTGTTACCATAAGGTGTTTTTTGTTTTCAGACTGGACCTAAGGTTTTATTGGTATGGAACTTCCCTTGAGGAAACTCCCTCTGCCAATGCATGTCAGCTTACTCTGCATTAAAATTTTAGAGAGTTGCCTGTAGCATTGAGGGGTTACTTTGCTTTCTCAGGGTTACAAAACTATGAGACTTGAATCTGTCTTTTTAACTCTGAAACAACCTCTTTAAGAATTTCCTTTTACCAGGTTGCCTCTTGCTGTCATTACTAATTGTAAAATATCTTTTGGCTTCCAGGTTGGAAACCAAGAAAGGGTCCTCATTACAATGTAAGGTCTTGGTTTTGTTTTTGTCTTTGTATCTCTAGGGTCTTACATAGTGCTTGGCACAGATTCAGTGCTTAATAAATGCTTATTGATAGGTTGACTTGATGGGTCAGATGATAGAGTAAGGCCACATTAACGTATTGGCAAAAATGGAGGAACAACTGAGACTAATTATCTGATTAATTTACTACAGAGCAGAATATTATCTTTGATCCTCACCCATCTAGAGTAGCAGTTTTAATACACCAAATTGTCCTAAAAGAGATTATCCCCCCTCACCTTTTCTCGTGCACAGATCAACTAACTGTTGCAAGGATAAAAGAACTTATCTTTTTCTGGAGACCCCAGGGAAACTCAGCTGGGGGATCAGTAATTGGGCACTTGAAGTTCTGGCTGGGCCTCTCTATCTCGAATATTGCCGAGCAAGCAAATAAAATCCTAACTTCTCTCAACCATGAATTGCTGTTTTGCATAAGCAGAGACGTCAGGCTCTGCCTGACACTGCCGTCAGTAAGTTTGTTCCATGGTTTCTCTGGCCAAAAGCAAAGTGTCCTCCCTCTAAAAGTACAACTACCTTCTGCACAGAGTTTAATTCCTTTCCTGGAATTCCCAGACACTGGGAAACCTACCCTAGAAGAGCTGGAGTACAACTCCTCTGATGTAATTAGGTCTGCTTCCTTTCATTTTTTTTTTAAAATTTAATCTCACAGGAGGGAAGGAGGCTATCATTCACCTGTCTCTAGGAGTTAATTAACTCCGAAGCCAGTGTCCACACTGGGTGTTTGAGGCTGATGTTGACATCACGTGGGAGTCATGCCGCCGCCTGCTAGCTCTTTCCTGTGGCTCTGGGAACCCAGCTTTTAAAAATTAATATAGTAACTAAAAATATACTTAGTGAAACATCCTGAATATCGGGGAAAGGGAGAGATTAAGACCTATACCGTCTTTCTTTCAGTAACTTCATTTAAGGCGGCGATGCGTGAATTGTTAAGGAGGGCCAGAAAAGGTGGTTTACTTTTGGAGTTTTATAGAGTATTTTTTGAGACGAAGAGGTGGAGAGTCACTCACTCCGCTCATGAGAACCAACCTCCCCCTTTTTAGGAGCTGAGTTTTGTGACGGAGTGATTCCTTTAGCTGCGACGTTGGTCAGGCAGAGCCTCAAAAGTAATCAGGCGTCTCAGATGGCACCCAAGACCCAAAGAAATGTTTCTGTCACATACCATACAGCTGCGTAGCTATCCTACACACTCACCGGTATTCTTTTTAGGAAAACAGTGAAATAAATGGCCCTTGTCCCAAATCTGCTTCCTTATGTGGCTAATAGGACTATGTGTCTACACGCACGTAGTGATTCCATTTTTTAAAAAAACACATTACAAAGCAGTACTATATGTGTCTTGATATCGAAAATACGAATCTTGAATATTGAGTGGCTTTCAAGCCTAAATCAGTTTAGCAAAGGAACGCTATTCTAAATTTTAAAATATACCGAGAAGAACATTTAACCCTAGAGAGTTTGTACCTCAAGTGGGGTCGCTGGAAAGGAGGCAGTCAGGATTTGGGACAAAGTTGGGGGTGGAGGACAGAGGGAGGGGGGGGGTCTTAAATCGGATGCCTTCGCTCGATGTCTCTCGTTCCATTTCCTGCCTCTGAAGCAACAGTGTCTGTCTGGGCGAGAGAGCACTTCGTGCGATTTAGAAACTCGATAGGAGGCAGCAGCTGATTTCAGACCACCCTAAAAATAATTCGCGGCCAGGCTCTACGTGCTTCATTCGTAAAGGCAAACTCTACCACCCGAGTTAATTCTCCTATAGTAAGAGGGCAACACGGGCTCTTAAAAATTCTTTTAAGACTAAAGGTAAGTAACACACAATTTGGTCTAACTTTTCAGCAATCACTGGGCAGGAGTCTACTCTTTTCCTCCCTCCCCAACCCTCCCCAGTCCCTTCTCCTAACCCCTGTGACTTAATCTACAGGACCCTGTGAGGGCTTGCGCGGAGCTTTGGGGGAGGGGAAGAGTGAGTGAGTGAGTGAGTGAGTGTGTGTGTGTGTGTGTGTGTGTGTGTATTTGTGTTTGTGTGTGGGGGTGGTGGTGGTGGTGGTGGTGGTGATGCGAAATTTAGAAGCTGCCTTTCCTGAACCAATGGAAAACGTTCAGAAGTCTCAGGGTGCTTGTCTTCGCTTCCCCTTGACATCTGTAACTTCGTGCAATGATTTCTTGGTTTGTTTTCCAGTGTTTGGGGATTTTAGGAGTTCGGTTTCTTGACTGGAAACAAAACCTTGGGAAAATTTAGCAAACTAGAGTTCCTGGAGAAAGTAGCCGCACAGGTGGCCCCGTAAGTTGTTTCAAGTAGTAGCAAGCACGTGGTCGTGCCATTTGCTTTTTACCTTAGGTATTTAATGTGGCCAATTCTTGCATTTTTTTTTGGTATCCTTCTAAAAATTGAGAGTGTTGAGAATGTAGGAGTCAGTCCCCATAGTCACTTCAAAGCAGAAGAGTAAACTTAGTTCAGGTTACCAAATGGCTAGCTAGTGTTTATTTTGACTAGCGATTGTCAAAGTTGAATCCAGTCTTCAGACGTTTCTTCAATAATCTTTTCTTTGAAAACATTATATTTGATGACTGTTTTCTTGATAATTTCTGCAAAATAGAGGACAACGAGGTAGCTTCTGCAACCTCTTGCTGAAGAAGCTCTAGCCATGGATAAGAAAGACATTTAAAACTTCATGGTTTGCACACCTACAGATTTAGATAATCTCTGAATAAGCAACAATGGCTTGTACGAAGTCATAAATCTTTGCTGAATTGAACTGCATAGCCAGCATACAAATTTAATTTGTACATAAGATGCTTCTTTAGAAAAAATATTGCTTATGATACCTTATGATACCATAAAAGTTAGACCACATCGTGTATCACTTGTGATACCTGTTCTGGGTTTTGAGAATACTTTAAAACAACCTAGAAAATAGAGACTCACTCAGAAGTAATAATTTGTATGAAGTGCTAAAGAAGGGTGGACAATTATGTCAGTAATTTTACTGATAATTACTGATACTAATAATAATTTTACATATAGAATTTAACAAACCAGTTCACAATAACACCTCCCTTTGTTCCTTACAACGTTCACAGGAGTTTTTAAAGTGTTGCGCCTCCAATGGACAGGTTTGTTAGCAAAATAAATGACATGATTATCAAACAATACTTATTTACGTATTTGGAGCAATACTTTATAGTTCAGATTGCAATGCTCCCATTTTATAGATGAAGAAATGAAGAAATCAAAGAACCAAATGACCTGGTAATTCTACCTGGTATTTTGATAACAATAACTGAATTCAGTCCCTTGACTTTCAAAATTTATCCATTTAAAAAATAGGAATATTTCTAATAGTAATTCTGCTATGGAATTAATAACCTTTAATGAATTTTAGTGTTTTATGTCCCCGCCTCCCCCATTTAAGGTTAGGGATACTGTTGAAAATGATCTCAATGCGTGCCTCAACATTTTTTATTCAGAATGTTCCAGAAGTCTTAGTGGCTTAAATGACTTATGCTTAAATGCTTAAAATGACACAAAGACTTCTGGGACACCTCATACAAAGTTGATTTTAAAATATTGCTTGAAAACATGAATATCCCCAATATCCAAAAGGCATTTGGCATTTTAAAAAATAAGTTCGAAATATTTTTATATTACCAGAATTTATTCATTGGCATCTCTTTCAAATACATTTTGGGAACCTGTAAATGAAAAATAAATACCACCTACTGTCCTGAAAGAGCTATCATCATCATCAAAAATATCTGACTTTCTTATTCCATGTCTTTAAAATTTAGCAAATCTAAATCTTTTCCTTTGCGGGCCACCAAAAATCTGCAGAGTTATGAAATTAGCTTGCATTTTATGATTTGACATTCATCAGGAAGACTGGATTATGCCCTTTTACTACACTAGCAGCTCATGGGGAAAAAAATATTACAGCTAGGACCACTTGTGACACTCTCTAATGTCACAGCTTTGCAAAGGAGTCTGTATGGTTGACAAATGTCAAGAATTTTACTCAGGAACAGAAATTTCGCTTCCTGAATAACAACCACGAATGCACTTCATAACAAATTTCTTTGCCATAAGCAGGATATTGCTCTAGCCAGGCAGTCACTATCATCACATAAAAGCATTACAGAATATTGATGTGTTCAGAGTAGACAGCGTACCAAAGTAAATAGAATCCTTTATTAGAGTTCTTCAGATATTCTCCCTGTTATCTATCAAATATCCGTCTGAAGGAATGGTGAATCATTTGCTAGAGTCAGAAATGGCTAGTCAGGATGTAATTCTCTAAGGCATCTTTTATTATGATAATCTTTGCCATCAATTAATATTGAATGCGAATACTGAATGATACTCTCTGAGGATCTTTCTAAATATATACACAATATTATTAACATATATCTCTCACTCTCAGTGCCCAACATGGACACATCATACATATCAATGATGGTGTTGTGGAAAGGATAATTAGGGGACCTAGATTCTGTATTAGCTGACCAGTTGTATTATCTTGGGTAGGTTCCTTCTTTTGAGTTCTTTGTTTTTTCTTTAGTAGATAAAATAGTTTAGATTAAGTGATCTCTGGAGCCCTTTCCAGCTCTAATGTCTTCTGATCTTACTCACTGTACTATGGAAATTTATCAGATATTTATTATAAGTGGTCCTTCTTGATGAGGACCTTTTTCAGTAGAGAAAACAGCAAAGAGCTGCTTGGTGATCTTCCCGGTATTTCGATCATTGGTTAGTTTTTGACATGAATTTTACTGTCAGTTTGAAGCCCTCCAAATGAAGGGAGATGCAAAGTACAGTGAAGCTCTCCAGTTTGGAATACAGGGCCTTGGGGGAAATATTTTAATACCTGTAATCAATGATTCTGTAAAAGAAGAAGGTGAGAGACAACAACTATCATTTGAGCATATGAAAAAAAGAATATACAAAGGATGTTGGAGAGGTTCTTCTCCTTAATTTAGGGGATGGGAAAGGTTGGAGCAGATGATCTCTAATGGTTCTTTAGGTTATATTAATGTAAATGGAGTGTTGAAATAAACAATTGAGTAACAAGGGAAAAGGGGATTTCAGGAAGTGGGAGGGGAGATTTAAATGAGAGATTTGGGTTGAAGAAACAATTTGAGAGCTAAGGGCAATAAGTGAGATGAAAAGGCTAAAACTGGAAGGAGGAAATGATTTAAAGACCTTTATGTTAATAATGTGAAATGCATGCTTGAGTGTGCTTCTGATATTTTAGATAACAAATCAGGGATGATTTCAGGTGAACATAATATTTATTTATACACAGTGTTGCCTAGTGTTTGAAACTCAGACCCCTGAATATTAACCCTAGTTGTGTCCCTCTTGTTAAGTTTTTAGTCTTAGGAAATCATTGTGTTTCTTGATTATTTCCTTACCTTATCCCTAAAATCCAATTCCATTTTACTCCAGGAGAATATTTTAGGATTAGATACTATGTATAAAGTACCCAGAAATAATTAGAAGAAATGTGTTATGTAAATTCCAGGTATTTTTCTTATAGCAATGATAATGATCAATGTTCAAGTTTTAAAATCTAAGGAATGCTATAAAACAGATATTCCTGTCCCTTGCATTTGAATCATTTACACATTTGTTCTGAGTATACTTGAATTCTCACAATATCTTTTCTACTGAATTAAGATAACAATCTAAGAAAATTTTCACAATGAAAGAAAAAAGTACTCTTTTTTCTATTTTAACCCATTTTTACTAGAAATACATTTTACAGATGAATAAATTAAGAATGAGGAAAGGAATAGTTCAAATTTTAAATTCATGCTTCAAGCCATTTTTAATTCTCTTTTTTTACCCAGCCTAAAAGAATAATGTGGGTTTTTTTGTTGTTTTTTACCATTTATCAAATGTGTTACCTTATCTTGAATTTTTACATTTGAGAAGTATCTTTTTAAAAGGTGAAAACATCTAGAATTAGAGATGATAGTGATATTATATCCATATAAGGGTGTGTGTATGTGACTCATTTGCTAAATTTGAAAAGAGAAGCTGTTCATACTTAGATGACTTAGAAGGGGTTCTTTTTAAGTTGCCCTTAATGACTCAACAGTTGATCCACTATACATTCTTCTCTGGGCTGCTCTCTAAATGTGGAAGAGACTAGTTGATGTTCTACTTTGTCATTTTAAAAAGATTAAATTCTGAAGTTAGTGAGGTTTTATACATGTAACAGAAAAGCAGATATTTTGTAATTTTAGAATCTTATATACTGCTGGTGATTCAGAAAGAATCAATCAGACAGCTTCCTTATAGAAGGTTAAAAAAAATCTTTGGGATACCAAACTTAAATTTAAGAGTTTTTAAGACCAATAGGAGAATGTGTCTGTGTGTCTGTGCATGTATATATGTTTATCTATCTATCTATCTATCTATCTATCTATCTATCTATCTATCTATCTATCTATCTATCTATCAATCTATCTATATCTATATGTATGTATATATATGTATATATATGTGTCAAAAACTCAGAATTGTCTAATCTGAAAAAAGTAAAATCAACATAGATCTAGAACTACAAGGAACATCAAAGGCCATTCAATCCAACCACTTCATTTTTACAGATGGTAAAACTGGGGCCCAGGAAGGTTAAGGGAGTAGTCACAAGATCACACATATGATAATCATAATGATAGTAGTTCACATTTGTATAGTGACTACTATGTGTCAGACACTGTGTGAAGTGCTTTACAAGTTTTATCTCATTTGATACAACAACCCTGGGAGGTTGGTGCTGTTATTATCTTCTGAGGAA